TGGTCATAGGTAGAGAAGAATGAACAAGGGAAAGAAAGGAAGGGGCAGCAGAAGTGTATCTCTCAGATACCATGTTAGGAGAGAAAGTAAAAAAATGATTGAAAAAGTTTTTCATTCTTCTCTACATATGACCGAACACAATGAATGCCTATATAGGCTCAACGAAGGGAGATGCAAAAGAACATTAGTTGCAAAACAAGCTTTCTTCTAAAAATAAATAAAAATAAAGCTGAACATTAAAAAATAAATTAAGAAAATAACACCATATTCTAATAGGTTTCTATAGAATCGAGTCCTTGGTATTATTGCTGTTATTTTGGACTAGTCAGTATTATTAATATGTTGAAACAGTCGGTGTGAGAGTAAACTCGTGATCAACTTAACTGATGATTAGAAAGGAATTTTCATGAAATCTAGTATCTCATCATTCTCTGTGTCTTAAAATAGCTTTTGGAATTTTTAAGTGAAAGAATTTAACCTATCATCAGCTCGAGTATCCAGCACCTGGAGCTCCAGAATTGGCAAAGAGGGTAAAAGAGCTGCTTATGTCCTCTGGCTTCAAGCGTGTTGATGAAGATAGAAAACGTGGGCTTGATCATGGAGCATGGGTTCCTCTCATGCTAATGTACCCAGAGGCTGACATCCCTGTTTGTCAACTCTCCCTTCAGTTGGACAAGGATGCAACTTACCATTACAATATTGGCAAGGCATTGGCTACTCTCAAGGACGAAGGTGTGCTGATCATTGGATCTGGAAGTGCAACTCACAACCTGAGGTCCCTTGGACCACGTAAGGGTTCTGTCGCTTCTTGGGCTTTGGAGTTTGATACTTGGTTGAAAGATTCTCTCCTTGAGGGAAGGTAATTGTTAAGCATTCGTTCCATATATAGTGTTCCATATTTTCGTATGCTCTTGTGGGATGGTGGAAGAGTGACTGAACACAAAATGACTAGTTTCTAGGTGGACAAAAATTTAATCTTGTAACCTGGTCTACAACAACTACGGAAACATCTTTCTTTCACTGGATCAAATGTTTTAAGAGCTTATGGACCAAAAATCCATGGCGACATCATCATATTTGGAAGAATTTTAACTTGGAAGTGTCTGGATAAACATCTTTGGATTTTGGGAAACTGGGTTTCAGAATTGTGAGATAGAATTAATTTTTGGTTTTGGGTAAATTTTTAATCCAAAGTTCAGATGTTCATACCATGAAAGAAGTGGAATAACTTCATTTCACGGAGTATTTTTTGTTTTGATCATGCTGAAGTTTTGTAACTTTATTTCATGGGAGGATTGAAGTGCTGCCACTTGGAATCTGTCAAATTTGTTGAACAAAATTGATGTAGCCTTTTCTACTTCCTGCTTCTAGTAGTTGGCCTTTTGCTACTTTTCCTGCTTTCAGGAGTTGGCTTTTCACTTGATATTTTGTTAATTGGAGCTAGTTTTCAGAATGACAGCAATTCCCCGCCTTCAAAGTAGCAAAAGAGAAGAAAGTAACAAGTGGGGGTGGAGATCATCTTTCCACAAATTTTTTCTTTTCTTCCTTGAAAGTTCTCTCCTGTGTATTGAGTTTATGATATGATCTGTGCCTATCATCTTGTTTAATCAAATTTGGACTTTACATTTTGCTTAAGTTTTCCTAGGAGATGTAAACATTTGATTATTGTTGCAGATACGAAGATGTGAATCATTATGAATAGAAGGCACCACATGCAAGGACGGCTCATCCATGGCCAGATCACTTTTATCCATTTACATGTAGCAATTTGGTGCTGCCGGTGAAGTGCCAAAGCTAAGCTAGTTCACCACAGCTGAGACATGAGTTCTCCTTCTTATGCTTCTTACAGTTTACAGCTGCCAC